AACCCTGCAACTGCTGGTTGTTTCCAGGCTGTGAGCCAAATCAAATGCTCAGAACACGTACAGAAAGTAGGTATAGGAGAGAACTTAAGTCTTTAAAGGGTTGATAGACTTGCAGAATGTAAATGTGTTATAAGATAAAACACTCTTGATTGATAGCGGTGAGCACTTCATTTCTGTTGCCTTTTGGAGGCAGCATGTGCTAGTTGTGTTGTGTGGAGTTACTGCCAGCTGCTCAGACTTGGTGAATGAGTAAAATGGGTATCTCCCCATCAGACTCAAGGGGAGTTGCAGACCTGTCTCCCAGCCTCTTCTTTGGTTATGTGTTCATCCTGTTGAGCAAAGGGGGGGGGGGGGAAGTAGTTGAGGGGTAAGTTGTTCTAAAGGGCAGGACAGACTGCGTGTGTCTGATAGCAGGCAAGAAATGCTCGTGACTCTAGCTAGGGTAAAACAAGGGTAAGCCATGGCTGGTAGTTCTTGGGCTTCCTTGTCAGGCTGAAATAAAAGATAGATGTGATGTACTGAGTGAAGGGTTACATGTTTGATTGGGATTATTGGCAGGAGGTATTTCTGAACACTAGTTAGCTTGCAACAAATTAAAAAGCATTTTTAGATTGCTGCAAGCTTTTCTTCATCAGTTACTGCCTGAAAAATAAAAACCCCAAAACTCGTGGTAAGGAAACACTACTTCAAAACCAGTCACCACTAGACTTAGGTACAAGTACGGGCAAGGCACGGGGCTGAGCAGAAAGCAAAGAGCTACCTCAGAGCCGAGGGCGAGAGGAGTAGAGTTCATAGATCCTGCACATTGCTAGTGCAGAAGACTCGAGAGCGTTCATTTCAGTGGCGACAAAGAATGGGTTTTAAGCCTCCTTTGAGGAAAGTCTGTTTCCTGTTGTTGTCATCATCATTGCTTCTCTAAAAGTCATGAATTCCCTAAAGGAACCAGGAAACTGCTTTATGTGGTGCTTCTGCCCGAGATGCTGCAACTTTTTCCATGCTCGTGAAATTCAAGGGAGTAAAAAAATATGCTGAAGAGGAGCAGAATTTTTTTGTTTATTATGCTGACTGTTGCAGAAAAGACTTGCTCCTGCGGCTGTACAAGATGTTTATTACTTCTTGTACGTACAGGCTGAGGTGCTAGGTGCTCACAGTTTTCCTGAAATCATCATTTGGCAAATCACTTCAGTCTGTTCGTTATCTGTGTGGACTTGCACAGGCTTTTGGTCCCAGTGGTATGTATGAAAACACGGTAGCTGTGAAAACAGTAACTCCTGTCAGTAGAGCTTTGTTTAGCCCTGTATGTTCTTGATCATCCTTTAAAGTTATCTTCCATTTCTGGCACGGCCCATGTGGTGTTTGCGCCCATCGGTAATGGAGGTGCATGACAAGTGAAACAGAATTCCCACATTTGTAGAGGGCAGAGGGGCCTGAGGGGTTTGACGGTGATGCATATTTTGGGACTCTACATGTTTTGAAGCAAAGTTCAAGTACAGCTCTTCTTTTGTGAAGTAGAGCCTTTTCTTTTGTTACTCTTCTGGATTTCAGCTGTATATTCTTTGTAACTGTTTAACCACTAGACTGAAGGAAGTTGAAGAGGACTTCTGATGTTTAGAGGATAGAGTAACTTCAGACCGACTGTTGTCATTAACTGTTTGCCCTTGTGTTTTAGAGCTTATCTCACTGTGAATTGATCACTGATGATGGGATTCTTCATCTGAGCAACAGTACGTGTGGTCACGAGAGGCTGCAGGTACTGGAGCTTGATAACTGTCTTCTCATCACTGACGTGACTCTGGAACACCTGGAGAACTGCCACAACTTGGAGAGAATTGAGCTGTATGACTGTCAGCAAGTCACGCGAGCTGGAATCAAACGAATCAGAGTACGTGTTTGCTGACTTGTTCGGTGGGAATGCCCAAGCTGTCGATAGTGCTTGAGATGATTGTATGAATCCTGCAGACGTCCCAGGCAAAGGAGGGTGGAAAAACAGAGTCTGAATATCATTCCGTTAGAACCCCATCTCTAGGGATGTAACGTAGCTTTTCTATATGAGCAGTAATAATTGTCTAATTCTGTTTATAACTTACAACACTTTTGCTGTTGGATTGATGAGTACTTTTCTTCTGCTTTCTGTATTTTTTCCAATACAGGCTTCTATGTTTTTAGGATTGTGTAGTGGCATTCTTTAACTCTCTTAAAATAGGCAATGTACAGAGCCAGTAGCAAAACAGCTGCATGGAGATTTCAGTTAATAGGTTGTAGGGCTCTCAGGCCCTGGAATCCAGCCAGGATTTCCTCCGTGTACCTCCCCCATTAGGTCAGGGACCACTGACCTTGAGGTGCAGCAGTTGAGCCTTACTGTTAAACTTTCTGCAGTTTTGTATCCCAGATTTCTGTCCAAATGCTTTTGCAATTGGAAAGCTTGTCCCTGGTAGTGAGGGCAGGTGCCCTGTTCTATTCTGTGCTGCTTTCTAGGATGAGAGAAGCAGGCAATGTGGGAGACGAGATGAGATAGATACAAACAAGTCTGTCTTTGGTAGCCAGGGGTCCATCTCTCCCCGGCAGCAGAGCACACGCCTCTCTCTTGACAGGGAGCTCGCTGGGCTGATCGGTGCTTTATTGGGGAATAAGTGGGAACCCTGAGCAGATCAGTGTGCCCAGACATTGGCTGGATGTGACACGAGAATTACATGTCAGGAGGAGACAGCTTGGCTAGTACCAAGCATAGAGATGCTTTCTTTTGAGCTACCCAACCTTAACGAGAGCTGACTTGTTGGCAGTAGTTGAGGTGTACTGTTGCTTTTTACTCGCTATGTTTATTTCTCTCCTGTTATAATGCCGACTTCTCATCCACAGGCTCATCTACCTCATGTGAAAGTTCATGCTTACTTTGCTCCGGTAACTCCCCCTCCTTCGGTAGGAGGGAGCGGACAGCGCCTCTGCAGATGCTGTATTATTCTTTGACAGGAAGTGCAGCCACACAGAAAAAGTTGTTGTTGAAGAAAAGAACAGGACTGCAAGTCAGCAGAAGGAGTTGGTTTCCTGACAGTAGTAATGGTGGTGTTTGGTCATCCAGTTTTGTGACAAGAAAAGCATTTTTTTTTTTTTTTTCCCCAGGTAAAATCTTAATGTAATGTGCAGCTGTGGATTAAGTTGGTGATGCTTCGGTTTGTGTTAGTAACTCCTTCCTTCTGTTGGCATGAGAACTGAAGTACCCTGTAAAACGTGGGGGGCATTTCAGCATAGCAGCTACTTGGTGAAAGGTCCTGACACTTGGAAGTTAATTTGCATTTGTAAGCACTGTTCAGTGTGAAGTTCTAATGTAACCTTGGGGCTCCAGTCCCGCACACCAAGGAACTCAACAGTTTTAAGGACAAATCAGCTTTAGCAGATGTTGACAAAAAAAAAAAAAAAAAAGTGCAAGGTAATCATGAGCTCTTATAGCAAAACAGCTTATACTTTTCCATGATTCAGCTTCATATTTAATTACATAACAGGACATAATAGGTAATGTCAAAAGGTAAGATAGTACCTCAAGGTAACTATATAAACAGAAATAATTTTCAAGTTCTTGAACTTGGTTCAGTTGAACTATGTATTAGTTTAAAGCTTGCCTGGCACTGAAGCACGTTTCACGCCTGATGCCATCGGCCTTTAAAAGGTGTAAAAAAATCCACTGTGGTAGAGCTTGGGCGCTCTACTGGAATTGGCCGCCCCCACCTGTACACGGTGCTTACTGAAACGCCGTTCCTGTGCATCCTCAGTTACCTTCTCGGGTGGTAAGGGAAGGATGCAGCGGTTTTAGAAAGGAGGGGTGGGGGTGGTGTTATGCATGCTTTTCTACAGACGGAAGCGTGGAAACCAGGTTCGGTTACAGGAACTATGATGGAGTGGGGAATGCAAGTCAAGCTGTTTGTCCCACCCGTTTTTAGAGAGACAGCAAGCAGATGGGCACATCAAGCTGTAGGCCAGAGTTGAACAAACCTATGGTTTTCAAATGCAGAAAGCCAAACTCTTCACATTTGGATTATTTAAGAAGCTGTCAACTTCTGAATGATAATAATTATAAAAAAAACCCCAAACTATTAACTCTTAAGGCCATGCATTCATCCTAAGTTTTTCAGTGCTAGAGGGTTAGATAAATAAACTTTTTTATATATTATGCAACTTAATTATCCGAGATAAAAACTACTCAACAGTTCAGAAAGCTTTTTTGTGTAAGACTGACTGTGCGTGTGTATGTTTTAAGAGTTCAAGACCTGTGTCTTTACTGAAAATTAACGGAAATACTGGCTTAAAAAGCAGTTGGAGAAGCTACTGCTGCATCGTAAACCCCCCCCCTCCAAATTTTAAGCTACTTAGAAAAAGGAGTGTCACCATGAAGAGCCTTTTATGGACAAGAGCAGCTGTGTTGTGTTCATGCTTCACACATTCACCGATGAAGGGGACAGTAAATTAAGATCTCGGAGGATAAATTACAGATGAGAGCACAGTATGTAGATTTCTTTACTACTCCAAAATAAGCCAAGCGGGGCTTGTTTTGCACAGTAGCGGAGGAGCATTGGTACAATCATATGTAGAGATCCATTACAATACTGCAGTAATGGAGGGGTTTAAGCAGATTTTATTCTCAACTGTAAAGTCAGTGGTACCAGGTATGTCATGACGTGTTGCCTTTTGTTGGCTTTTTTTTCTAAGAACATAATGAACCTTGTAAGTCTACTGCATTAAAGATGTACAAAACCAAATGGAACCTACTCTAAGACACTTAAATAAACAATCAGCTGATGTCAAATTTGAATGTTTCACTTATTTCAAATGTAACTGTTTTCTATTAGAAGCAGAAGATCTGTGTGCAGGATAAACCACAGGGCTGCTTTGCTTCCACTATTTACCTTTACCTACCATTGTTGCTTGGGTAGGTCTTGCAGGAAGATCTTAATAGCAGAAGTAGCTCTAACATAGTTGGGGGGGGGGAAAGTAAACAAAAAGAAAGCACATTTACAAAATTATTGAAAAACATTTATTATACTTAAATTGAAATGTGTACATCTTATTAAAAAACAAAAGCAATTTGCTGGTGCCATAATTTAATTCCAATTTCAAGTGAGCTGGACAAACTACTGTACAACTTTCAATATTCTTTAAAATTAGATACTTGGATACTTTCCAATCAAGGATTTTTCCACTTTTATAAAACATTTGGATTTGAATATGGTGTGAGCTGAAAAGACACAAGTGTCAGTTCAAGAAAATACTAGGACCAAACAATACCCAAAGATGAACAACTTATAGGCAGAAATGTTTAAGTACATAAATTTTTACTTTCAGTGCAGAAACAATAAAAACAGGAAAGAAACTCTAGCTTTGATGAACTCAAATTTTCAAAATGCTACAGCTTTAGGAAGCTTTTCTGCTAAGCACTTGAGCCAGTTAGAAAAGAGGGAACAAAAAAAACAAAAAAAAGTTGCTTTTTTTACATGCTGTAGTAGTTGTTTACATTGAACACTGCAGCATAAAAAGCAAATTATTCCCAAGCTTTTAAGCTGGAGATCAAGGTGGAACTTTTCAAAGGCACAAAAGGGCAGCTGTGAAACTGCCACTTACAACCTTTTGAAATATTCCCCTCTTAAGTACCTAACCAGTTGAAACTTAATGTTAACATAGGAAATGCTGTGCCATGTCTTTACAAGAAATATCCAAAATATTGAAAAAAGCAAAGTAACTATTTGGTCAGGTGGAAGAGGCACTGTAAGAGCTGTACAGTATGTATGGGAGGGCAAAGAAAGGGCAACAGAAAAGGTAAGATACTTGTCCGTAATAGCAACTACAGCAAGGCCTTTACGGGCTGGGAAGGCGACTAAAATGGTGTATATTTAGTGTTTCTTAAGCAATTTATTTGATGTCGCTGAAAGCTATGACAGCCCCGTGGTGCCAGTGGATCATCTTCCCTCATCAGCATAATTCCACTAAATCATAAAAATCCACCTCTCACTGCTAGTATTTTTAAACCCACAATTTTACAAGCAAAGAGTTAAACTGCAGCAGTGCTCCGCAGAGAACCTAGGAAACTAAACATAAAGGATGCATAGGCAATTCTTTTCCATTAAATCTGTTAAAGCAAAACACAATTACTTGGTACCCCATAGGATTTATATTAATCCCTCCAATAAGGTACTACTGATAATGCAGTTTGCTGCATGCATATATTGCATCTGTCTAGGGCTTCTTCAAAGCCCTCTTCTGGCATTTACACTTCTTACATACACTCTTATACACAATTTACACGGGAAGCTGTTTTGACAGCTTTACTCTCAAAGACCCGACAACCTGATCACTATCAGCTTAACTACTCATCTCCACACAGATTAATATGTGCTCTGCTAACATCAAAAAATAAAACCAGCATAAGGTACAAGCAAGTAACAGACAAACTGGCACAGAAAGGTAAATGCCCCAAAATGAGTTTACATTCATCTCCAACTGGATACAGAGAATAGAAAAGCAACAGCGCTTCGCTTCTAGAAACTGTATCTACTGGCCATAATTTGCCTTATTTCAGTAAAGGGCAAGCACCTTTGCTTACATTGTCTTCCATGCCTGTACATAAGCTGTCATGGCATTTTACCTCTCATGAGGACACTTAGCTATGGCAGTGATAAGAAAGTTCACCTATCAAACAGCTCATTAGAAAGGTCATTTCGTGTTTTCAATATGAAACATCTTATACGGTGAAGTTAGATCCTAAGGTTTTTGGATGATCTTCATAATCTTTAGGCAGGACTTCATTCTGCGGTGGAGTATCAGTCTAGCAATTGTGTGGTATCACTTCAGAATTATATGGAAGCCTTCACCATTTTCAGCTGCAAAAAGGAAAAAAAAAGTGTCAGTCTTTCATAATTAGAACCGTAAATACACTAGCCAATGCACCAAAACATCAAAGTATGGACCTGGTTTTTACTGTGTGAAGTGGTTCATTGCTGCTATGAAATACTAACCGTGAAATGTGAAATAGCAGTAACCTGCTAGTCAGACTAAACGCTTGAACAATAATTAACTTTTTACAATCGCTTTGGTTTGCAGTTATTTCTGAACTCTTCCTACCGTGCATTAAACCCACCTCATTTGACAGTGACAGTTAGTATCATAGAAAGAAGTTAACTTCTGCAAGACCAGTGTAAATCCTCAGCGTATGCTTTTAATCATCTATTTTGTGATGCTTGGCCTTAAACTAGAAAGCCAAATGGAAACGGCGTTAAAAAAAAACCAAACAGAAAAACCCCAAACCCTGTGGATTTTATGCTTAGAAGCTAGTAGTACCACCAAAAGACTTAACAACTGAGCCAAACAGGTCTTTAACAATCACTAAATGTTAATAGATTTTATTAATAGATTTTATACTACACAGAACAATTAGGTTTTTAGGATGCTGATAAAATGAAGCAGACTTTAAAAATACAGCTCATCTACATCAAAAACCTAGCTTTTAAAAATTTCCTGCTTGCGCTGAACAAAAATGTTCTGATTAACAATTTGTAATTGGCTCTTCAAAGTTGGGACAGTTTCTGTAGATAAAATTTGCAGAGGTTCAAATTTGTCCGCTGCTTACCCAACATCCCGGCACGCTTTACCAGAAATAAACTGGACCCCTAAGAAAGTGTGGGATTCATCTGAAACACCTATGAGGAAACCTGAACCAGCATCTTTGTGGACTAAGGTTGGCTGCAGCCCAGTTCCACTGCGTTCATACAATTAACATGATTCCACGTTCTAGGAATGTTTCCCTTCAAGTCTACTAGCTGATGCTAAACAACAGCGTTCTGAGAGCGAGTCTTTGCGTGGCAGAGGAAACACACTGTTGTCTTCCCAGCAAAATGGCCACCTCCTCTCTACAGCAACAACCCACTGCAGGGGATTATTTACTGGCCATGAAAGAACAGAATTTTATACTCAGTTCTGCCAACTACCAGGACTCAGTTAACACTGGACTTCAGAGGTACTACTGCCAGGGTATTTTTTTTTTTAATTCTTTTGAAACTTCACCACTGTCAACAATTATTAACGGCAAGCACTGCTCAGTGATGGCTGACTGAATTTCAGATGAGATTTGTTACCGAGTGCTGCACTGGTTCGGAACTGAAAGTGGGGAGAAAAGACTGAGGTGCTATGCAGGGGCTGAATGGTCTGGCTGAGAGAGGAGGAACTCATGGATATTTTCTGCCACTACTGTATGCAGATTTTTTTAAAAATTTTTTTTTTTTTTTTGCAAGTCAGCCGTCACTAGATCTGCTGTTACTCTTTGCTTGGGGAAGTTTTAATAGAATAGTATTCTGCTTTAAAGAAGGCTCCTCAGTAGAACAAACAATTACGGTTTAGACTGTCAGAAAAGACACTGTACCTTTTATTGTGGTGAATAAGAAACAACTCTCATCTTGAAAGTTTTGAACCATCTAAAAAAAAAAAGTTTTGAAATCCTCCTGAATATGATCAATGTAAAAAATAAATACATCAGATACTAAACGCAACATTTATAAGCAACTGCATATTTTTTTGGTTTATTCAGCAAGTGACAAGCATATACCAAATTAAATTAAAATACATTACTGTCAAAATACTGCTTGTTAATCACGTGCCAACCAGTTGGGAGCATATCACTGTGGCTCTAAATACGTGTAGCAGATGCTTGAATAAGCCGAGTTCAACAGTATTTAAACACACCCTGCCTTTGGGCATGTTCAAAATAAATACATGCTAAGTAATTACCGCAGCATCTCAGAACTGTACAGACCAGTTGCCTTTCTCTTCTCATAATTTGAATTTATTCAGATAGAGGCAGAGCAACATATAAGGATTCTATTGCCCATTTTAATGTAAAGGAAAAATAAATGTCAGAAAATACTAGGCTGCATTATCAAACAGAAAAACAGTAATAAAAAAGCAAGCATAAGAAAATCCTCCATTCTATTCAATTCATAAATAACATTTGTCAAAAAAAAAAAAAGTTTCCATTACCTGATCACTAACAAGAATGTGGATACCTGTGGGACCCTGTCTGTAAACCTGGTTGATCTGATGCAAAGGAATATTAAATGCCAAAGCAAGCTTGCGTGTGACTTCTGAGGCTGCCATTTCTTCTAAGTAGATTGCATGATAAACTACAAGAAAAAAAAAAAATATTTAAATAGGCATGGTACTAATTGATAACAAGTAACTATATGAAAAAAAATCTGGGTTTTTTTATATCCAGGCTTTAGAAGATTTTAAAAGCTAGAAACCTTTCCTTTATTCTCCCCCTCGTTCTCACTAAGAAACATGAACTGCCGTGACTTTTCTTTGAAGGCAAAGCCATAAGCGCACCTCTCTGACAAGGGGAGGCTTCTATTTGCTCTGCTACTGAAAGCAACTTCCACATTTTTTCCTGTATCCTGTACAAAAAGGCACAGTCACATCAGACAGACGTAAACGGATCTTCAGAGAGTCACCTAAAGATGACTTTGGAAGTAGTTTTGGACCGTCACAAAAGCAGCAGGTAACACACCTGACTGATACCACTACACTGTTGTTTTAAATAGGGATGTAGAAATTTATTTTTTTTTTGGTAAAGAAAGCCTTTTTCAGCTGTCTGAATAAATTTCCTATGGATCATCTCAGAGCTGAGAGGTGGCAGGGGGTGAATACAACACCACAAACAAACAGAACAGCAAGACAAAGTAGCTATTCGGTTTGACTCTGCATTTACAGTTCTATAGCTTTATTTCATAGTGCTAGAAGCCCTTGGCAGCTCCATGTTTGCACATTCTTCCATCCCAAACTAAAGACTGAAGATATCCAGAGGGAAAATATGTATTTGGCAGAAACAGTATCCTATTTACAGATCCTCCTCCACCTCAATTCTTGCACAGAAAATACACAACTACTATTACGGCAGCAGCCTGTACAGATTTCAGTTGGTTGGCGAAGGAGGTCTCTTCACTCAAAGCCAAGAGCAAGAAAGGAATCATTTCAAAGAGCTCCATTCTCTTAATTGTAAGACTGACATGAATTTACAATTAAATACTAAGTTCCCATCTGTGCTGAAACCACAGCTATCTCTCAGGAAAATAATACTAAAATCATGAGCCTGTACACTGCTTGGCTCTTTTTCTTTGTCCAAGCTCTACCCATCTTAGTTCAGTTGCACAGAAAATGACAGCAAAACCTAACTGAAAATGGGAAAGAATCTAAGTGTTTTATTTGCATGTAGCTTTTACACGCACCTGCATTTATCAAGTTAATACCTCGGCTGTAACAACATAGCACAGCTAATTTGAGAGCTCCTTGATTAATTACCATGTAACTACAGTTAGTTTTATCAATGGACTGAAAAAAAAAAAATCTATGATTTAACCTTGAGAGGTTTTAAGGTTCTGTTCATCCCAGGCAGTGTTAAAACAGCAATGTTGTTCTGAATACAACTTCCTGTGGTTTCTCTGTACACCAGAAACAGAAAATCAGCCTCTTCGCTATTCTTTTTTCCTTCCCATCCATCTTGTTTTATAGTTTTTCAGACACAGAAACGGCATGCTAAGAGAGCCCCTATGCGCCATACCGTATATTGCACCATTGCTGCTATCACCATTGCCTGCATCTTGTCTTTCCAGTTGTATGCTCCTTAACGGCTCCTGACAGACATAGATTGTTAAACGGGGCCTAACAGACCTGCAATCAAACAAATCACGTATCAGAGAAAAGGTTGCTTGCCCTGGAAATACAGAAAATTTGTGGATATGCCACAAATGTAGATTTGTTACGCTAACATTATATTTGAAATATTTTCTTTTGCTGACAAAAAAAAAAAAATAATATAATGGGAAGTGGTGTCTCAGATGCTACTGCATTTTAACAAAATTTCTATCCATTCCAAGTTCATCAAGATGCTGCTTGCAGGAATCCTGGAACATAACTACTGAGTAACAATGACAATTCTTGTGAAGGTCAATGGTAACAACTACCTGTTTCAGTCAGAATCAGATACATCAGCTGGGATACTGTCTGTGTTACCATGCAATGCTTGTAACCTCAAAAGGCCTTGAGTTGTTCTTGGCTCCCCTAAACGAGAAGTTTTGTGTCTTGGCAACAAATCCATCTGTTTTTAAGACACTGGCAGTGCCCAGCTGCATCGGCACCAGCCTCACAGCCTACCTTTGAACCCATCAGGGCCTGCGTCTCAGCTGGGGTCTGCCCTGGAGGCGTACACACGCAAGGAGGCTCTTTTTAAACATACTGCTGCCAGTCCCTGAGGCAGCTCTCACAGGCATCCAGGCCCATCCCGACACTGACTTCCCAGATCTCCCAATTCTAAGGACAGGGAATTCTAGTAAATAACAGAACAAAACCCAGTCGCACCCTCACATTCAACATATTACCTGGATTTCAGTGCATTATATAGCCGAATTCCATCGGCTGGACCACAGATTTGTACCAGATCTTCTCTTGTCAGCTTTAATAAATCAGCACCTGGAGAAACACATGAGGATTTTACAAAAATTATTTTAGAATATCTATACTTCTTAGTATACTTCCCACGGTGGTTAGTTTCACTTGATGGTGTTTACATCTTCAAAAAAGTACAAAGTCTGCAAGGCACACAATTTCTGTAGAGACAGATGACTCTTCTACATCCAGACAATAATTTAAATGACTCAAAGTTTTAACTAACACCCAGGTTAGTGAATTTTAAACACATGCAAAATACAGAGCAAAGATATTTGATGGTTTGTCACTCAATGAATCATCCCAGGCCATCAACTAATACATCATATCCTCTATGCACTTAAGTTATTACAATACACTCATTTGTAGAAGATACTGCTAAAGGCTGGCATAACTAAATCACTGTGGTCAAATCAGTACATCAGCAGCCTGTGGGGTGAATCCAGGTTGTGGGATGCTTCCATCCAAGAGCAGTTTGGGTTTTTTTAAATGATCCTGGGAATAAGTGATCTCTGAAACCAACTGCTTCCGAGAAGACTTACTTTAGAAAATGAAGCTTTGATAAAAGATACTAAGTAGATCTAAACACAAAATGGAAAGAAGCATGCTTCTTAGAAGCAGCATGGGTGTCAACAAAGAAAACAGTCTGAAAAATCAGTCACTGTAATAGATGAGTGGGAGGACGGGGGGCGGAAACCAAAACAGTCTTTATTTGTGAAAATACTCCACAGATGATCTAGGAATGGCACAGGTAAAAGCCAGCAAAAATAATTTGTCATCATAGCCCTTAAGTACTACAATAAGAAAACCCACCACACCTGAAGAGTAATTAAAACTACACTACACCTCTTGCTTCAAAGAAAATCTATCGACCAGCTAGTATTTGTCTTCTAGAAGCATATAAAGATAATAACGAAAAAGAAGAACTGCTTTAAAAGCGTTCCAAGGGTCATTGTCAGCTATTTGGTACTGAAGTTTACTGAGAAAGCTTTGCAATCACAATAGAAGAACCACAGATCAAAAACTAACCAGCAGCAGCAGAATAAATGGTCAATTTCCAACACTGCGAGGGTTGACTACGAAATATTGTGCTTTTCCATTAGGTCCATGGCATTTAAAACAAAATTGTGTCACTGATTAACTAAGGAGCCTTAGTGTGTCAGTCTTGATGAGCTGGTAGATGCTGTTGGTTCCAGGGAAGCTCACGGCAGTAGTGATTTACACTGATGTACAAGAACAGGTTGCTTTGCTAGGAGGTGTGCTGAGCCACACTGAGGAGGGAAACCCAGGACGGCACCAGTTTATTGCTGAGATAGCTAGTAGTGCCGTGTGGTTCTTACATGTTACGTATGTTAATTTGGGTTTCCTTTTCCTCAAAGAAATCATGTTCTTAGGTGCCAAAAGCTGCAGTTTTTCCAGTGGTCTCACTACCATCTCAAGGTCTGGTCAAAATGCCTTCCAATGCAAACTGAGTATTTAATAAGCAAATTAGTAAATTACAATAAATATCAATGCCATATTGTTTCTAGAGAATTGTTTTCCCAAACAAAACTTGCTCACTAACAACAGACTCTAAATAAAAAAGTAAACTATAGATACCTGAGAAATTTGAAAAAAGCCTTGTATAGGTAGAGAACCTATGCTTGAGCAACCATTGCTGAGTTTCCTGGATTGTGGCTGAAGGATGAAGCTGCTGTAAGAAACAAGATTGGATATGATAATTTGGATATTTAAAAAAACAACCCACAAAACCATTAATAAACCTCCCTCAGTTAAACACTTCCTCAGTACCTATCACTATCAAAGTATATATAAATCAAATGTTCTGACACAAATATAGCCATGATCAATACTAGAAAGCAAATACTCACATCTCCAGACCCTTGAGAGGTTCCATCTCCTTGATGATTTGGGGAGGAAGAATTGCTACAGATAAAAAAATAATAATAAAAAAACCCATATTACTAGAATTTTATTAAGCAAAATATTCAAGCATTGCTGAAAAATAACTTGAAATTCCCAAAACAATACATATCACTGTTGAAAGACAAATTACACACGGCATAGACTGCAACTTAAGTTAAACTCAAGAAAAAGATCATCACGCTTCTATACGCAAGTCATCTGGTTCCTATTCTGTGTGTTACCAACTGGAAAAGCAGCTTTACCAACACTCACGGGAGGCTATATGGGCACTTGTCTGTCTTAAAGGGTGACTGAGGAAGAGGCAGTAAAATACAAGGCAATACCACTATAAATCATTCCTTGATCACCCAAGTTTGATTACACTAGTTTAATTAATGCCTCAGTACAAAATGTTTTTACCAATACAATTTTTGTTGAAAAGCTTGTAAAGATTATTGTTGGGTTTTTTCCTTGCAAATTGTATTAACTGTGTGTACGTGGAACAAAGACAGTTCTTATGGAAAAAAGCTAAATAATTTCCATAGACAAGGTCTAAATGAGAATCGTTAAAAGATAAAGTATTTGCTATATGACCAAGGACAAGAAGAAAAGTTTCCAACAGTGTATAGTAAAAAAGAAAAATGTTGAAGCAAAAGTAATTACATTATAATTGAATCACATGATGTGTGAAGCTCTAAAATAAATATATAGGTCAAAGCAATCTCTCATTCCCCAGTGGAGCAAGAAAACAGATTTACTCAGAAAACACTTTTGAATAAGCCTGATTTTTAAATGTTATCTTTAGTTAGGGTACGGAAAAGAAACCTACCTGTCTGGGACACTGTAGGTATTATGTTGAGCAGAGGTAAAAGTTGGAGCAGGAGTAGGACTGTTGTTTACAAATGTTGTAGGAGTATCAGGCCATGGTGAACACTGAAGATAAAAAAATAAAACTTAAGTTTCTCTTGACAATACATTTTTTACTGTGATGCACAGATCTTTCATTTAAAGCCAGGGTTTTTTCCACAGCGAATTTTGATTTGTAATTCCAAATAAAGATGCCCTCCATCCAACACATTACATGCAGATACTACAGGTAAAAATCAGTTTTGCTTTATCTTGTACATTCAAAAAGACTCCTAATTATACTGTCTTCTGTTAACAGAGTGAAGGTATTAGTGGTGGACCTGACTGAAGACCCGTACAGATTACTCAGTTGAAAACAAACCAACCAACCCCAAGCCATCTGCTGAAAAAACTTCATTTATCCTGAAAGGGATGAAGGGGCTGTTTAAACTGCGGGTGTCATAACTTGACAACAGGTGTTCAGCAAGAGTAAATAAAACTATGAAGCCAGATTTCCCCTTGCGGATAGATTTAATGTATCTGCCCTGACAGCATTTAAGTACAAGTGGAATTTTCAGTAGAAATTTAGTGCATTTAAATTTTTTATTCATTTACTGCAGGACTAAAATGATGCTTACATGTACTGCTTTCTTTAAACTGCTTTGTAAACTGGAATTTTTATACACAAATTTAAGTCATCACAAGTATATTATGAGCCAACTGTCAAATTTAGTCAGTCTTTTTTCGGGTATATTTTTGAACCACCATGATAAAAGCCCTTAAAAATGAGACTGGCTTTTAGTGTTTCCAATATCATTGCAAATTCAGTATTTTCAAAAAAAAATAAAAAGCAAACAGATTTTGATATGTTCAAAGACAGGATTAAAACAAGCAAGTTGTCCAAGATACAGTAAGCTAAGACTATGCCTGTTAAAACAACAAAGATTTCTGATATACTTATCATGCACCAGCTAAATACCCTGTACAGAAATTCCAGAGTTATATCACAGCCTTGCAGAGGGGGAGGAAGAGGGAGGGAAACAAGTATGACCTAATATTAATGAAAACATGTTTCAACAATTTTGTGTTGAAAGACCCTTTCATTATCTGGGGGAAATGGTAAATGAGCCCAGTAACAGCTGCAATCTTTATTTCTGCAACAATATTTCTGTGCTGGACTCCAGTCTTCACTTGTCAGAGTAAGATTACAAGTTCCCTAGCATGGCACATACAATTTAAAAAAAAAAAAAAAACTTGCATGGCAATAGCTTAAAAATTAGGAAATTTTTCATCTGTCTGAGATCTGACTCAAATAGGTATTTTTGCTAGCCACTGTGTACAGTCTTTGATTACTTAATCAAAGCCACCCTTTAGACTACAAACAGTGCCATCCACACAATGTTCTTCTATGACGTTCTAGTGTTACCCACTCTTCCTCCTATTCTGTATATTCCCATCAGTTGTTTCTCTTCTCAAGTTCATTTTAATGTTAATCTCAAAGACGTAATATTACAATAGGTAGTTAAAATAGGCCTTCAGTCCCTAATTATGTGGTCCAAAGCCATAATTTTAAAATAAAAGCTCAACATAATGTTGCTTTGTTCTTCTGAAATGTTTTGGAAGTCCAGTTAATTTTATTTAATTTTCTGACATTCTCTCCCTAAATTTTAATGCAAGATGTTTATCTGGACACACATATGCAAGCTGTACATCCTTAGCCACTATTCCATTCCAAGATTCTGTTCGACATACATTTGAATTCAGGGCCAAGGAAGAATGCACTGGTGTCAGAGAACAGCTTTTGAGCCGTTCCCAAGGCATGTACTGCAGTTAATGTTTCTGCCCTTCAAACCCAGCTCAAGTTGATCACAACAAAACTCTTGAGTTTAAATGCTGGAAGAAGCACATTTGAAATATTTAGGAAAAAAAAAAATCCCAAGCCAAAGCAAGCTTTTTTTCCTCCTATAAACACACTTTCCTACCTTGTCTCCTCTTCCAGCAAAAATGTTACTATCCACTGAGACTGAATCAGTTGGTTAAAAAAAAATAGTAGAAGTAGTAATACTACTACTGCAACGTGCCCACTGACTCAGTTTTCCTTTCTTCTGTCTTATAGGTTGTGGAGGGAAAAATTAGTAGTTGAGCACTGAGATACTTAATTCTGAAAGGTTCAGGATCAAAAAAAGCCTAGCATTAAAAAATAATAATTAAAAAAATCAAGAACATATATTCTTCAAGTGTCTTCTAGCAATTAACTCGAGCTGCTTATGGTTTTGGAATCACCCACATGCACAACCATCCCGCTAACCTTACAAACCCATCAGGTTCAGAAACAGGATTAGACAAATGCCTGGGCATCAAATCCATTAGCACTGAGATGACTAAGCAGGGATGTGCTTTGGAACATCCTGCGTGACTATTCCGGACACTGGGGGATTACGAGGGGAATGGATCAAAGAAGGTGGGGTAAGGCTTCCCTCACACAGCACCTGCAATTGCCACTGCCAGGGACAGAACACCAGACTGGACCTTACAGGCTCCTGGTCTGATCAATCAGGATATTTATTATATTCTTAAGCCCCAAACCCAGTTAACCAAAGGACATTCAGCAAGCTAATGATGCCAATACAGAAGTCCCTGGCCACGGGACGTAAACTCAAGAGAAAAATGTCACTCTGTCACAAGGAAGCATGCAAAGCTGTAAAAAGCCATCATAAAACAGAAAAAAGGTTGGCATTATATCTTTACCTGTAATGAACAATGAATATATACCAGTGCATTTCCAAAGATGATGTTTTTGAGGTCTCACAACTAACTGCACTCCATTACTAGTACCCTGAAACACTACTGATACAACTGTACTCCAGAAATTATGCCTTAATTTCCAAACACTGATTAATTCTTCAGAAGGAGAAAACTATTTTGATTTCAGATCTTTAACATCTTTCTGCATAGGACATGAATGAAGTTACAAAGTGTTGACCAATGATTTTACTGAGTTAAAAATGAAGATAGGAAATCTTTCTAAGTATGACTTTTCAGATACGGCATTTCAGGATATATAGCCAGAATTTAAACTCAGAATGTTCCTAACTTCTGAAGAATTACAAAATCTCAAGTTATTCTAAGCCAATAGTTTAATACTATTTCCCTTCCTACTTCCCATCTACCTGAATCTGCCCAAATTCATGCCTCCTTACAAGAGAGTAAAACTGAACTTTGTCAAAGAACTCCATACTATATTCAAATACCAAATCAATACAAAACCAAAAAGGTTCTTCTCCAAATCAGACATTATACTTGGGCACATAGCATCATCTTTAGAGAAACAAATTGAAGAAATACTATATACTTATGTTACGAAATTCGTTTTGCTCCAGCTTCACTTTCGGACTCTCATAGCCTCTAAAAGGTTCTATATTCTAAACTTAAGTCACTTACAGAAAATATTTAACTTCTGCACCAATCCTTCACGTGCAAAACTCTATGTTCCGATTTATTTCAATGTCTGTATCTGGTAGTCTTCTAACTTCCATATGCCCTATAATCAGCTCTATCTGCAAAAAATAACCATTTCACCAAATCTGATCAAGTTGTAGCTTTATATATTCTAGCTTGTGACATAATATATACTAATATAAAAATGAACCAAGACACTACAGACAGAAAAAAGTGCAAAGACTCAATTATCACAATACAAATTTGCCTGCTTTTTCAAATTCAAAGCAAGGGAAAGAATCTGGTGGTTTTGGTTTTTTTCTCTCTTCTTCCTTAGATAAGGTCTAGCTTCTATATATTTGGAAGAGAGGAAAAAATAAAGTGCCTCCCTCATAAAGTGCCCCTGGATGAAGGTCACCTGTACATAAACATCCACTCTGAGATCCAGAAGGCAGTTAAGTTTGCAGCCTTTTACAAAAAAAGTTGATGGTCCATAGCATGAGAGAGAGTCTTAACAAGCAGTTTAAGTATGCATCTGTCTGTCTGGAAAATACCGAGACAAATACTGCAGAAATTGCAGCGAATGCACCAAATTTTGATACATCAGATGAATAAAAACAAGTAATGGAAAAGCATATCTAGATGGCATGCTTATGAAAATGAATGGGAAGGAAAAGATGAGTAATGGTAATTAAAAAAAAATTCTCTGGTTCTTAGGAAAGGATAGAAGAGAAGAATGACCATTCAGAAAGGACGCGTCACCATTCTGTACTGTGTTAGAATTTCGTATGAGTTAAATTGGAAAGAAAAGATATTAGATTCAATGTTTCCTGAAGGAAGCAGGAAGCACAGTAAGAAATCAATCTTTCCAAATCAGATTGTAGCTGAGTTGGAAGAAACCATACAGGGAGGAAGAAAAAAAAAAAAAGAAACAAAACAAAAGAAAGGAAACAAAATCAGAAATCTAGCAAATAGAACAGCATAATCTTGGAAAGGCAAATAAAAAAGCCAACATACAAAATGAGATGCAAAAAGCAAGGAACTAAAAAAGATAGCCTATATAATAGGTTAGGTGTAGGAGGAAGATAATACCAGCTTTACAAAGAAAGAAAACTATAGATTGGATCAACCTAAATTTCTGGAATTCAAGAAAAGATAATAAGAAACTATTTCTGGGCATCTGGGAAGCAGCATTGGCTAAGTAACAGCCAAGAGAACAACAAGAAAAATGTACTCCAAACAATCCTGTTTTCCTTTTGTAATGGAGCCACAGTTCCTAGGACATACGACAAGATCCATCATATATAAAGACATAACATGTAAAACAGTGTCAATTCTCATACATAAAAGTCTTTAGTTTTTGTGTTTAAGCTCCTCTGTGACGGCTGTACCACACATACGGTACACATATGATCTGCACATATGAAGTAAGTCTTGAGAACAGCCAAACCTTCCGATGGTTACATTTGGGAAGGTGGATTTCCGAGGACAGAACTGCTCAAAGAAGAAACCTGCATCGCCCCCTGTCCATATTTACAAGGCCACAAGAATAAGCCTGTCTGGTGACAAGAAAGAAAGGCTGAGGAGGTGGCCTTCAAGCTGTAGATCAGACATTTGTTTTCTAGATCAAGCAAACAAGTTGTACACTGAACTTATATAGTTAAAAATAGTACTTAATGAGTGTATAGTGATTATCAAGGTTTCACTATGAATACAGCAAAAACAGTGTTTCATGGGTTTTTTTATGGGCTTGGTGATTTCCAATGATTTTGGTAATGATAAAAATCATTGTCATGATGGAACAGGTTATGTGTTAAATCTGCAGATGACACCAAGTTAGAAGGGCTGAAAGCATTTCATCCTACAGGAATAAAATTCAAAATGGTCACAACAAACCATCCATATGATCTCAAGATAGAATTGCATTAAGGACAAATGCAAACCAGGAATAGTCAGCTGCACAATTAAGAGAGCTGGAAAGCTGTACATAGCTGTAACTCCAAAACAGTCCATGGGTCATCCTTCGTTCCATGCAAGAAGTGAAGAAATAAACACACACACTCTCTACTTTGTGTCTTTTGGGAAAGGCATTAGAAGCCCAGTACTACCTGTCCTACCTCAATTTTTCTTCACTGCAATCAAGGTAATGCTCCCATACATAGAAGCTTAGTATTTCAAGACATTGTTAAGAACAGGTTAGACAACTTTCAGGTATCATTTGGCTACAGCTTGACCTACTCTGGACAAGGGATTTGCCATATATTTTAAAAATATCTTTTTCTATTATTCTTCCTATAAGCAATAATCATTCAATGGAAGTAGTTATAACAACAGAAAGAGAGCATGGGGGAAAATAAAAAGTAGAAATCCCTCAAAGAACCAGCTTCAAATGATGCTTCGGATGTGCTTTCCAAGTGAAAGTTATCAAATGCTGTTTTCTTCTGTCTATACCTCCCCCCGGTATTTGGAACAAATGCCCCCGGGCCATTTGGAGCAAATGAAAGAACCTCTGCACTGCCAAAGAACACTAAAGGTGCATCTTGAAAGAAAAAAAACAACAATCGAGAACAGCAGAAGGTAAATTTAGACAGCTCAGTGCTTACAGTAGTTTCAGAGGGAAAAAAATCCTCAAAAGTACCCATCTTACTTAACATTGCTTGTTCCCTCCCACCCAGTTACATGATTTATAAACAGCAAGAGGGATACACTGAAGTATTTTATAACCTAAACTGTATACATCACTTTCACAGATCATAAGTACAAACTAAATAATGTCTGAGGGACAAGAGTCAGACAGTCATTGCCCAAGCACTGCTGGGAAAGAGCTGCCAGCACAATATGCCTGTTTAAAGAACAGTCAAATAATTGTCTTCCACAGTCACATTATTGACACTTAAACTTGCCAAATGAAAGATGTGGGATTGTTTCGCATCTGAAAAATGTAAGGTCTCGATATTCACTTTAAGAAACAACATTTAGGAAATCTAAAATGCTAACCCTTGAAAGGAAAAGTGCACAGGATATTGTGGCAGTGTGCTCTACCCCCCAAGCCCTTATCACCAGTGGGGGCCGTGATGGCTTCATCTGGGTTATGCTGGACTTTGGGGGATGGATGGCAACATGGTAACCAAGGGCTGTCTGGAACAGTGACCCTAACATCTTGCTGGTATGCAAACATGACTATAAGTCAATCATCTTACTCAGTAACTAATGGACAGCCTAGAGCCCACTGAGTTCTTCTGCACAGCAGTGGGCTGCACGCCAGCATCTGCCCTTGAGCAGGGATGCCTCTCAAGGTCAGTCCTCAAGGTTGAGAGATTCCTTGCCGCAACAGATCCTCGGTCAGCGACAAAAAGCGTGCTAAACTTTGAAATCTTAGCTAAGTGATATCAGGGATTGATTGCGCATATATAATCCTTTAGACATAAGCCATTGATCAAGTCTGGGACTAGGACTGGATCCAGTCACATCTGGATTCCTCTCTGAGAAGAAGTTCAGAAAGCAAGAGGGTCCTTTCTGAACCTCATGACTCAATGGTAGGGTCTCCCTGACAGTTTTGCCTAACCCTGTCCTCTACGCAGTAAACAATCAAGTGTACTTTGCCATTGAATCTTGTTAAACCACTGTTGCTTTTACTATCAAACTGTGTTTAATCACTTTGTTTGTTTTATATGAATAATGTATGTTGTTGCTTCTCTCTTACGAGTGAAGTGCACCACTCCATCCCCGACAGATATATGTTAGATTCATTTTGAGGGGCACATACAGCGTTAGTGTACACGTCATGAAGATGTGCTGACTCTTCAGAACTGCATTAAACGTGCTTGAAGCACAATATGTACATGGCTAAAGGAAAAATCAATGATTAATGATCAACCATCTGCAACACTACATGGCCTGTTTAAAATACTGATGTACATGGAAACTTATATTGAATGTAAGTACAAATATGGAACAAAACACTAATTTCACTGTTCTTACTTCCTCTGATTACACACATACAGGAAAGTAAAAAGCTAATTCATTTAAAGTCGCATAAACGGAAAGCTCTTGACTTTAAAAAGTTACATAGTCCCTCTGCAACAGTTTAAGTGTTAGATTTAGGAAGGATTCCTTTGCTGAAAACAAACATGGGAGTAATTGGTATACATAAAAGTGAATAAAATTAAGACACAGCAATCAAAATATTTTTACTTTATATAATGGAAGTTTCTCCTATATCTAACACTGCACAAGGTATCTTGCACAATGAAAAGGTAAGCAGAAGTCCCTTACACTGCCTCGCTTTGCCAGAGAATCACCGTAGTCTGCTGGCAAAGTCCGCTTGCTGGACTTTTTCTGCTCATGTTCAACTGCATCTTCAATTATAGGCTCAAGCCTCATCTGGACAAACACCAAAGATTTGGATCAATTTCTTTTCATTATACAGTGAGGAAAGATCTAAAAGCCTTTTAAAAACTTCTGAAATCCTTAGAAAACTGCATAGAACTCACTGATTTTTAAATAAAAAGAAAATGCAAAAACCTACTGAGGCTCTGGCCTTAAATTCAGTAATCTCCAAAAATGCACTCTGAAGCTCAAATTTGGCAGATAATTAAATGCTAGATTCCCCCCCTCTTTTTTTGTGTGTGTGTGCTTTTCAGCTGAAAGATTTATAAATCTGTACCAAAAGACTTGCTCTAGGGTTCAGTACAGTCAGTGAAATAGTGTGCAATCTTAGTGTGCTTTAATATAAGCATCTATTGAGTATCTAAATGAAAGTTTACTAAACAAAATCTTAGAATTTAATGTTGCTGCTCACTGGACAAGTTTGTCAAATGAAAAGGTTATCTTTGTGTAGAACTAATTCTTCCCCAACCCTTCCAAGACTGCAGCTAAGTTATAAGCTGTATCTATGTAGTTTCTCCTCAGTAAGCAGATGCAATTCTGTTACCTCTGTAAGAACTGTGGTGTCATATGAAGGCTGATACTTTTCTTTTTCATGTGCAGTTCGCTTTTCCATCTTTTCTCTGTCTGTTTTCTGTTTCCTGTCTGCTCCTTTTGGCTAAAAATGAACAGTTACATGAACAAGAAAGCAGGTGGAAAATGGTTTTATAATTGAAATCTGATCTCAGAAGTCAAGCAGTAATATAAAGATGTCCACCATCTTTAGGAGAGCTTCTGAGAGAGACTTATTAAGCATCTGTTTTCTACTGTTACCTTAAAAACTTTGATTTGACAGCTGGCTGAATGCAGATGATCTGTATATTCTCCATTTTCAGTCTGTTTAAAAGTGTCAACCTGAATCCTAAAAGGAACTCCTTTCTCTCCTCCATGTTTACGAGGGGTAAATTCAGTGCTGATACAATGTACCTGAAAACCAACCAAACAAAAAGGACCCTCAGACATATTCTAGACATGGATTTCGTTACATGTTACCAACATCATATACATTTTCTAAGGACAAATAACAAATTACCCAGCCTGAGGACCAAGCTGCATAACTAATGTTTTGTTCCATTTTCATGCCCACATGCAAACGAAGCCAAAAACACTGTATTTGAGCTGACAGGGAAGAGGGGAAACAAGCATGTCACTAAAATCTCTCCAAAAAGCAGAAGTCATTATAGATTCTTATTAAACAAGAACTTGCCGGTTCTTCAGAAAAATGTATGTGGATGACAACTATATCATTAACATAGAAAAAACTTTTTCAAGGTACTATTGGCCAATGCACTATAGCTAGAATAAACCTCAGAGTTAATTGTAATAGTATTACCAAAGCTACAGAAGGTTACTGACTAGAAGAGTTTTTAATCTCGTGTAAAATCAGGATATTTTCAAATATGCCCAACTTCCTACACAAGTCAGTACACTTTCTAATCAGTACATAATTGCCTCAAGTGCTACATCAGAATGAAGACAGGGTTTGTAAGCTAGAAATACCTCTAAAAAATATGTAAGGAGAAAATCAGTGTAACAAAAAGAGTTACAATGAATCTTACTGGACAGCACTCCCAATTTTTTTTTGCTTCCTCATAGAATTTTAAGCAAGCCAAGCACCATGGACACCTTGTGCTCTCAATGACTACAATACTATCTTTTTATTTCCTATGGCCATCAATAACAGAGAACCATGGACTGGAAAATGAAGCTTTAAGTGTGTACTCAGTGCTGCTATGCTGTGTTCTCTAGCTTTTAGAATAAGTGAACTATACTTGCATAATAAGAGTCAGTTCCATTTTCAGTCAGTCAATTATCACTTCTTCTAAGCAGTGCATAAGCAAAAATACTCAATAATTTATCTCACACTTCTTCAAGATGGCTACATTTTAGCAAGCAGTCATAATTCTTACCAGAAAAAGTCTTCAACTGTATTAGAACAAAGTTAAATTATTGACAATATGGAATTCAACCTATTTTGCCAGCCTCAGTAAGAAACGCTGCTACCTCAAACTTTATACCTATACCTTTTTATTTTATAACGAAAACAGATCTGAGACAAAAGTAAGCTAAAAATTCCAATGCAAAACTGAACATTCTATCTAAATAATTTTCAAAGTATCAATTGCCTTAAATATCTATTACATAAATAACAAAAATCCTACTACAAGGAAGCCTATTGACATACTAAGAAATGTCTTTGTATGTCTGATTTAAAACTCTCTTTGTAGCACACTATTTTTCATTTTGTATCCTCAAGCCAAGCCTCTGCTGAAGCTCACCAGTAGGACAGTGGGCCTCTCAACTAAAAAAAAAAAATTAAAAAAAAGTAGTAGTGACAGTTATCTAGAGGGATATAAATTAATTCTAATACTCCATATAACTAAATATTTTAGCCATGACAGCTTTCTTCAAAGTGCTTTTTGAAAGCCTTTTATTTAAATTGTTTTTAAAAGATGCTTTTATAAACCCAAATCAAGTTGAAAAACCTAACTAGGGACCCTTACAGAAATATGAACCTGTGTTTTTTTACAAAGTTGGTATTTAATGGCTATCCCACAAATAAGAAACTGAGAAGCTTCATAGTACAAATATACTACTGTTTGTGACCTGAAAGGCACCAAACACAAACATCCAGTCAAGTAAAGTTTCAAACCTGAATAAAAGCAGATGTACATTTTGTTGGATCCCACAAAAATTCAACCGCATTGAGCTGGCTTGGATTTGTCTTGATATCAATGACTCCAACGGACATTGGAATATCTATTAAAATAAGTAGTATATATTTCAAAATAATCATTTTCCAAGAAAACACTACAAAACATTTTAATATAAGGTTACCATCAGCAAACACAGGTAGGGTGGAAAAACGTGGGCTTTAGTGGCTTGACCATAAGCCCAGAAATAGTTTCTTTAGGACTGATCTGAAGGATCTTAGTAGACTCAACATACATAGTGCTCAGGGTTTGGGGGTAGTTTTTGATTCCCCTCCTCCCCCCTCAACTTATGCACGAAAAATGATCAAGTTATGCAAAATACAGAAACCATGTTGGTGCCATTTCCACAATCTACTAGAGAAAGTTACTTCTGTGTTCTCCTCATTACTGTAACATTTAGTAACCAAAATTAGAAAGATTACTAAATATATAAGGTTGCAGAGTAGTGACTTCTGTAGCTACTTCTGTAGCACTTAAAGGTTTTAAATGAATGTGAAAGTGGCAAGAACATTTATATTCAAAATACACACTATGACAAAGCAGCACACAGAGAATTGGTCAGTGTTTTTTCACCAGCCCGAGCATAAATGTGACCATGATCAATTTAAATTTGGAAATTGGATTTCATACAGTGGCATCAGATAGAAACAATTATACCTAAGTCAAGAAGTCTGTCCCCAGGGCGGTTCCACTTCCAACCTTCTAGCTGCTGGTGCTCTGTATATTGCAACCTTCTGTCATGGAACACAACTCTTATAATACTCTAACAAAGAAAAAACCAAACATCTGATGAGCCACAAAGTTACTACATGTTTAGAAACAGCCTAAAGATAAAGCTCTGGTACATTCCAGAATAGCCACAGCGCTGATAAACACGTATTTACAGCAAAAAATTTGGCAACCATCAGTATCCCCAAATATTCCAGAACACAGAAACAGAACTGAGCAGTAGCAGATATTTGAAAATGTGGTAAAAATGCAAAAGAGAATTATATCTGACTGCATATACTAAAGGTCACTACGAATTATATGCAGTGAACTGACAGCACAGTATCAACACTATGTAGGCAACACAAACTTGTTTTAGAAAATAAACACAAAAGATTATTTATTCTGAAAAGTGGTGAATATAGTTTGACCATTTCTTTCATTGGGAATTTTGTGAATTTTTGTAGAATATTTTAAGAAATAAAATGAATAGAAAAATCCCTTCCTAGTATTTATAAAATTATTTACAATATATATTTTAATAGTAAGAAGTAATAAACAGCTTCCAAACTATTCCACTTGTTCTAGCTGAAATATTAATCTAAAAATATGATACAATTAACTTTACTCAGCTAGAAGCAGTTAGCCAAGAATATCTATTTTTGTGACCCGCTCTGCCACGTCTGTGGCTCTTAAGTCATATTAAAGAAAGGTTTCTATTCCGCTGCATGAATGCACATAGGAAGCAATTTGTTAAACAGAGGGGGGAAAAAATTGTACACATGAATTGCTACTGAACAAACAAAACATAGACAAACTTTTTAAAGTCTCATTTTTTCCCATTAGTCTACAACCTTACTTTTATTAACAATGGATAAAAGTGTTCAAAAAATCCAAGGACTCTTAAATGAAGTGCCTGAAATGCAAATACATTGCATTTCCTTGGTTTTATTTCAAAGGCAACAGAAAGCACATGTACATGCATGCATACGCACACACAAACATACCACTCTTTTTTCACTGCAAACTGGCAAGTTTGAAACTTGGAAATATCTGCAGCTACCTTCACCAACGTGAAACACCTTCTTTGTTCAAGTACTGGAATTCCAGTATTTAAATGTCCGAAATGGAAAATTTGTTGATGTGGGATTACAATGCCTTGCTATGATAAAATTTATTTTTTTCAGTTTTACACTGCCTTGTCCTATGTTACCTACCAAATGGCTCATCACCAATATATGAACCTATAAAATTACAGCAGAGAGATTCCCCAAAGCTACACGGAAATAGCATCTAAGGGGGCAAAACAGTCAACATGCTTACTACAGCAAGTCAACAGGCTGTAAAAGGTTTAATTGCAGAACTCACAAATCCCAGTTTTATACTTGTGCTTAACACTTCCTGAAATTCTCTCTGAACAAATATCCCACAGCCAAATAAGAACAAGGCATAGGACTATACAAGCCAGCCAAAGTTCACAAATTATATAGCTCAAAGTTGACAAGTAAAGACTCAGCCTCCCACAGGTACACTGCTCTGGTGTACTTATGAGTACCACTGTCAAAGTGACTTTAATTGAAGTGTTTTTCCTTCTTCCCCAACACATGAGGACAATTTTTCTCCAGCAGTTCATTTAACAATTTGTAGCATGAATTGGACATTTGTCAGTCTACCTCATTCTTATACTTCATATGATAGCTCAGATCCACAGTATCTTCTGCTGACATTAAAGCATAAGGAGACAAATCTGGAATTAGGAACAGAAGCTCAGCTATGGAACAAACTGCTCAAGGAGCAGCAAAATTAGACGTCTGTTTTCCTATAGATATGTCTCCTATATGTCAATATTCCACTGTTGCAAAAACCATAGGTTGTCTCAACGTGCCTTCCATAACACCTATTAAGAAACATGTTCCTCCAACTTCTTTCTAAATGATCCTCTAGCTTCCTTCCACATCTCCTAATCATTTAAAATGGAAATTGAAATGGCTTAGAAAATGTGGATACAACTAGGTATCTTAAGCTTTGCATAAAATAATCCAGTCTTCACTACACACAAGGACTCTATGCATTGGGTATTCATAATCTTCATATTCATACTTTTTTTTTTTTAAATATCACTGGTCAACAGTCATTCTGAATGAGTACCTAGTGACAGCAGAAAAAAAATCCATAAAATCTAGTCTCTAGATTGGATTTCTCTGACCTACGTTTAGATAACTAAATTTGAAATCACTGTTACCACAGCCTCCTTTTACTCAGCAGAAAGACATTGACACATTTAGTGGAGATTCATCTCATCTTAAAATAGATGAGACTGCAGACCACATAAAGGGTACATGAAGTGCTTAGTTCACCTTATCTAAAATTACATGAAATCAACTCATTCATAAATGGGGAAAAGCATACATGTATATTCTTTTAATTTGTAGTAAACCTGAAATAAAACAACAAAACTAGGCATTAGGTTCCGCTGTGCCTATTTTCTTTCTTGGTCAGATGAGTGAGCCCACCTCTCTCCATGAATCAGAGTACAATAAAAGGTTAAAAACTACTCTTTTCATATGCAACCATCAGAGGCGTGTTAGGAAAACTACCTAGAGAACTTCAGCTCACCTTCACCAGTTTTCCATTGATCTCTGGTATGTCTCCAGCTTTCCGATTATCTAGCATCCGTATTTCATAGGACTGACCTTTAAAGAGAAAATAGTTTGTATGGGTACAACAGATGGAGCACAAAGCTATTTTGTGTTTAATGCACCTGAGTTAGCTTTTGGTTCACAGTACATAATACAGGTACTTGAAACTTCTGTTTAAGAGATTTTCATAACAAGGGTCACATTTCAGCACAGGAATTAATGCAACAAGGTGAAACTTTTTGGTCCCTTTAAAAGTATGGATACTTTCAAAATTTAAATATTTCAATTTACAGGCAGTTTTAAGTACTTATTCTTTTTTTTCCTGAAGAAAAACTCACCTTCTAAACTGAACTACTTTATTTTTGAAACTGATGAAAGGCAACATACTGAGAACCACAGACAGATCTTCTGAAACCAACTCCTGCAAAGAGTTTTGATATTCTCCCTACAAAATACATACTACTCTCCCATGTTTAATTTTGCCCATGTACCTGTTGCCTTTGTATCATTTCAGAAATAAGCCTTTAAAATAGTTTCTGATTATTTCAAACGGGTATGAGTGAACCTATCTTTCTCGTAAATTTGACAAACTGTTGTGCTTCAAAAGAGAGAAAGCTGGAAGTAATTTATTTGAACTACAGGGATTTCTTTCCTCCAAGGTTAGCAGCACATATTCATCTGCAAAAATCAATCCTTAAAATATAGGACAAAATAGATCCTTAAAATAGAAGAAAAAATAGATCTCAAGACATTCACTAAGATCAAGTACAGTAAACTCATGACCTTCTACATTACCCTCCAAACTACCTTTACACTCGAGTGTTTACTACATTTAAAAGACATTTATTGGCTTGCCCTACAAGGTAAAGGTTCAGCTGCCATACTCCTGTGAATAAGCAAATTATTTCAACTCTTTCACTGCCCCATAGACCCATGTTACCACCAACTGTGGACTGTTTGGCATTTGTTTGCTGTAACACAATTAGCACATTTATGTATATATTCTACATGTGTACAGGCTTTCTTCACCCCAGCAGCATTTGATCACTGACAACACAAATCTATATAAAAATTAAATGCACCTAGTGTAGCTGAGTAAAGCAACAGATCATTTCTCCTCCTATACTTAACAGGAGGGATTTTTTTCCATGTTAATGAGATTTCTTCAATTACCGTGTTATTTTGCTCACATGGAGATATAACACATGTAAGTCCATCTGCATTTATAGACTGCATCAGGGGTTTTTAAAAATCTAGCACTATTAATAAAGCTTTTACAAATATTTGTTCTCTTTTGCCATTATTTTGAAAGGTGAAGGGAAGAGCAAAACACATTTTGATTGCTTGCTCAACAAGTGTTGCTAACCTTTTACAGGTATAAAATAATCGTAAGACTGAAGATCTGATGAAAGTAAAAATCAAGGAATGCCAGGCTCAAAAAATGCAAAAATAGCATGTTGAAATTTCAAAACAAAGGGACAGGTAGCTGCTCGGAAAGTGTAAAAAGCACCACAGCATTGATTGTAGTCATCTCTATATGACAGCCATACACGCTACTTTCTCTGCTGTTTCCTGGGCAGGAGCAAGGCAACACAAGGTGTTAGGGACATTAACTGCCCACTGTTGTAACACTGAAACTGTAGTACCCACTTTCACAAAAATCACAGAATGGTTGAGGTTGAAAGGGACCTCTGGAGGTCATAGAATGGTTAGGGTTGGAAGAGACCTCAAAGATCATCTAGTTCCAACCCCCCTGTGGCAGGGACACCCTCCACCCTCCACTCATCTTGTCCAACTGCCCTGCTCAAGCAGGGCCACGTTGAGCCAGTTGCCCAGAAGAAAGTCCAGGCTGCTTCTGAGTATCTCAAGGATGCTCATCCAGCCCATACTTCATTAGCTTCTCTGCCAGGATCTTACAGGAGAAAAAAGGAAAAGCCTTACTGAACACAATGACTTGTAGACAATATCCATTGCTCTGCCCTTGTCTACCGAGCCAGCCATTTCATCATACAAGTTTATCAAGTCAGTTAAGCATGACTTCCCCTTTGTGAATCCATACCAATTACTTCTGATGACCTCCTTATCCTTCATATACCTGGAAATGGTTCCCAGGATTAGCTACTTCATCACCTTCCCAGGGATGGAGGTGAAGCTGACCAGCCAGTAGATCCCTGGGTCCTCCTTTCTGAAGATCAGAGCAATGTTTGCTTTCCTCCAGTTCTAGCTCTCCTAATCATCGTGATCATTCAAAGACTATTGAGAGTAGCCTCACATGACATCTACCAGCTCCCTCAGTGTCCTGGTTTTACCCCAGCTGGCAGCTGAGCACCACGCAGCCGCTCATTCACTCCCTCCCCATCGGGATGGGGGCGGGAATTGGTAAAGTTAAAGTGAGAAAACTCGTGGGTTGAGATAAAGACAGTTTAACAGGTAAAGCAAAAGCCACGCATGCAAG